TACTTGGGGCCTGTAGAGCCTGGCTCACAGGTCTCCTTAGCCTCTCCCTGGACCCCAGCCTAAATCTGCACCCCAAGTTACTCACTTGGTCTCCATGACAGGAATCACCTGGTGGTGACCGAGTTGGAGTCTTTCCACCTGGCCACCCACAAGTGACCAAGAGGAGGGTGCTATCGGTCTGTGCCCTCAGCGGTCTGAGAGGCTGGCATTGCCAAGCAGATGCCCAGTGGGTGGTACTGAGAGAGAGAGCGTGAAGACACGTCAACCGGCACGAAGGCCCTAAGGACCCAAAAAGAGCCCTCCCCTCCCTCCGGGATGCACACTGCTCCTTTAGACCTAATGGCCGTAAGGCAGGGAGAAGGACCACTGCCCAGGAAACCAGCAGGGAGAGGCAGGGAGCAGAGCAGTTTGACTGCACAGCTCTCTACGAAAGTTCCGCCCACCAAGTGCCACATCACCACGGACGTCAGGGGCAGCGGGCTGTGTTCAAGGGCTGGGCCCCTTCAAGCAGAGGGCTCCCGGGAAGGGACGTGGTGTCGCAGGGGTGCCCGGGAACGCCTCTGCCCACAGGCGAGAGCAGCTGGCACCCTTGAAATGAATTTAGGAGGGTGCGTAGAGTTCGGCAGGAGAGAAAGAAGGAAGCGGACACCTGAGTCCCAAAGGGGCTGCGTGGCTTGTGCATATTCTCACAGCCAATGGACAGGGCTTGGACAGGACTCAGGCTCCTCACCCCAAGCTCTCCCTCTGACCACCCCACTGAGCATCCTTAGTGACAACCACCAGCCCAGGCTGGAGGAAGGGGAGCAGAGCTCAGTGCCCTGGCTGCCATGGCAGCTCCATGTGCCCCCAGGTGGGAGAGGAAGAGGGGCTGAGGGCGGACAGGGTGCACGTGGCCCTGCTATGTCAGGTCAGGATGGGGTGATGGCTCTGTGGATGGGACGCCAGGGGGCAAGGGCACGGATGGCTGTGGTCCCAGTGGGTGAACTCAGCCCCAGCCCCTTCTAGAACAGTGTGGTGCTCAGCAGGGACCATCTCCACACTGTGGCCCAGTGTGTGTCTCCCCCCGCCCCCCGCCATGGGCTTCCCTGGCCTGGAGGGAAAGAGCTGTCCTGCGCAGCGGGTGTCTCCCCACTGCCGTCCCAGGGCCTGCCCCATGGGGCCCCTGTCTTTCCTCCACTCCCAGAGCCCTCTGCCTGCTTTCCTCCAGGTCTGCCGCTTTGGTTCTAACCCGGCCTCGAATGCATGGCTGCTCAGCTAATCCTTTTCATCTAAGTACTTGAACGACATGCTGGCAGTTCCTTTTCTATCACCGGGAGTTCCTAAAGCTATGCCACATGAGTGCCCTGCAGTGTCCTCCTGGCCTGCCACTCCCAGCTTTACCCACTGCAGGGTTTTCTGGCTCACTGGCCACAGACAATGGCTTTGAAGCTATAGTGGTCGATATTCCACAGAAAGCAAGGCCAGTTTCATGAAGAGCCACGCCCTGTTGAGTCAGCTTGGGGTCAGAGTACCCCGAGCTGCTGGTGCTCCTCTCCCTGCCTCTTCTGCCACTTTCTGCTGGCTTAGGCGGTTTCCTCAAGGAGACACGGTCAGAAGCATCCTGCTGGAGGTGCACTGGCAGGAGGTTGGCCTCTGGTACTTACAGGGATGTTGGGATACCCACGTAGAGGACTGGGCACCTTGTGATACAGGGGAAGAAGGGAGGCGTAGAGGGGCTGAGAGTCCATCCTCCGTTCACATGGCTATCGGGCACAGCAAGGCTGGACCCAGGGCCTCTGACTTCTAAGCCCATGACGACCTCTGTGACCTTTCCACATTTAGCAGCTTTGCCTCTCCTGTCTGTTTTCCAAAGAGCCGGCCAAGTCCTAAGCAGAACTTAGGCTCATTCCTGCAGGCTGCTCACAAGTGGTGTCCCCTCCCTTCGACCCTCACTGGGTGTCACCCCCAGGAGGGCTGAAGACTCCTGGACATCAGAATGGGATGGCTTTGTCCCTTCAGATCCCTGCCCGACACTACATGGTGGCTGGGGAGCCGTCTGCACCCCAGCCCACCTGCGGGCTCAGCCCATTTTGCAAGACTTGAGAGCACGCGTCTCCCCCAGCCCCACGCCTTCCCCTGGGAGCTGCATTTTTCTTTTCTACCTAATCTGATTTTTGCCTGTGCTGATGGAAAATTATGCTTCTCATTATCCCACCTTCTACCCTAAAACTTCTGTGGAAGATGGAGAGAAGGATAGAGCTCAAGTCCTGAGCAAAAGTCAACAGCACCCCTGGCAACTGCTCCCTGGGGCAGGCCACAGTTCAGTGGACGCCTCGGGTCCAGAGCCTGGTATGCGCTGAGATCAGCACAGAGCCACCCACTGGGGAGAGGGTGGGGCTCTTGGGCCCCTACTGGTGTTGAGATCTGGGCTGTGCTTCCACTGGGAACGGCAGACATGCTCATGCCTGTCCCAGTCCCGAGGACACTGACGGGTCTGGAGTGCAGCTTCGGTTTCTCCTGACTCCCCGGGTGATTGTGCAGCCAGGACTTAACAGGGACCCAGTGGTGGAGAGACCTTGGAGAGACCATGGACCAAGCTTCTCACCTAGCTCGAGAAGAGGCTTGCGCCCCTGAACCTGAGGGTCTTACTTAGGGTGGAAGGCAGTTTCTCTGGACAAGAGACCCGAGTCCTTTCATCAGCTTCTTCCGTGGCTTCTCATCCCCGAGGAGACGACCATTAACTGTCCCCAACCCTGAGCAGACATATCCGGGTTCTGGGTCCAGATGCTCAGCCCACACTCTGATTTGGAGAACATGGGGGAAATGGAGGATGTGCACCTTCCATAGGCTGCATCCATTGGAGGCCAGATTTCCTGGCTTTTGCTGGGGTGAGATCAGCTCAGGGTGGTTGGGTTGACCAGCAAGCTGGCTGCTGCTCAGGACCTGTTCCTGACACTGTTGTATGCCTTTGATTAGTAAAAAAGGAGACAGGGGCCGAGGATTTAGCTCAGTGGTTCCAGCATCTGCCTCGCAAGCAAAAGGTCCTGAGTTCGATCTCTGGTACAAAAAAAAAAAAATGAGAAAGGAATTATCACTCAATTAGCACACTGTGTTTGGTAGGCCAAAGCCCGACCTTGGAAAAAGAGATGGAAAGGTTCTGAGTGGTTATAGACTGGGAACCACTGATCTAGTAACTCCCTTATTTGAGAGATTAAAAAGCTGAGATCGAACTGAGAGTTAGGTCACCCAGCTGGTTATACCAAGTTGAGACCCTCACCCAGGCCTTCCAGAAATGCCGTAAGGGACAAAAATCTCCATGTGTGGGATGCTTTGCTAACAGTCACACTGGTTATGGAGTGGACCGATGCATGTCCACTGGTGTGCCTCGTCCAGGGTTTGGTTCCACTGACTCAAACTCGGGAAACCCCTCACTTGCCCAGGCGGTGTGGACCACTGATGACCCACACCCACAGAGAACTGAGAGAAGTACCGAACCTGGGATTCGTCAAAGCTAAGGTATCATCAGTTGTAAGATCCATCACTGGCCTCCGGCCATAAGAAACAGTGCTGCCAAGGACCCTTAGACCATTAGTCATGAGATGCGTCCCAGGCTCAGGGAGACTGAAATGGGAGAGAGAAATGTGAGTCTGGGACTGAGGAGAGATGGTCCTTCCTCTCCTATCCCACCTGGGTGGCCCAGCTGTGGCCCCGGGTGGCATCCTTCCACCTGGTTCTCATGCCTGGTGGAGGAGCCACTGGAGATGAAATGGGACTGGGAAGAAATCATAGCTCTTTTAAAAGCAGGGGTGTTGGGGCAGGCCCTTCCACTCCATGACATCCAGAGACAGAGCCTGGATTTGCCCCCAAAAGACCTGATTCCAGTCTCAGTGCTGAAACTCTAATGGTGTCGACTTGGGCACATTCTTACCCTCCCCAAGCCTCAGTTTCCTCATCTGCAGACAGCCGTACATGCTGCCCATCCTCACAAAGCAGGTATAGAGCTCAGAAGGGAAATGGCAGTGCACACACACTGGGTGTGCAGTTGCCTGGTGCCTGTTAAACCCAAGAGCCATCTTCCACTCCTCAGCTGAGGGCTGTGGCTCCCAGAGCAGAGGACACGGAAGTGAGTCCCATGTGGCAGGCTGATGAGGAAAAGCTGAACAAGTGGATGGACCCCCAGTAAGTGGGGTGCTTCTCTAGCTTTTGCCACACCCAAGACCCCTTGAGAAGCATCCACCATCCATCCTTAGACGGGTCTTTCCTTAAGTGGGGACCAGGGGACGAGGGCACAGCGGAAGTCCACCCTCCCATGGCCATGTGGTCAGAGGTTCTCTCCTCAAATCCCAGGCACTCTCCCCTAGGGTTCCACACTGGCACCCTGAGGGCGTGCGCACTCACTCACACACAGTTCCGAAGTGTGACAGTCGCTGACAGTCATTCAGCCTTACGTGTCTCCCCAGTGCCACTCCAGCTGCAGGAGGCAGTGGCCCCAGGACTGAGAGGAAGGCAGGCCACCAGTGAAGAGGAGGAAGTAGACGGCTCCCTCTCCATCCTCTGTGGATGGCGTGCGGCACACACTGACCTTCCCAGGGAGGAGGCAGTGGGGCTGAGTGGGTGGCCCTGCCCTGCCCACCTGAGAGTCCCCAATGGAAGGACCAAGGGAACGGCAGCACTGAAAGTGCCTGCCCGGGGGAGGTGGCAGGGCAGAGCTGGTAAGGTGCCCTCAGCACAGCTGGGGGCTGAAGGTCCCCAACGCCCTGTCACGCCCACAGCTGCACCCATCCCCTACCCATGGCACCCTCGGAAGGGGCCCCCCTGGGGGTCAGACCCCGAGTTGAAATCCAGCTCTCTGCTGGCTCCCACGCGGGGCCTGGTGAGGCTCCTAGCGGCTAGGCCTCCAATTGATCCCCTTGGTCAAGCCGGCACCAAATGCTTCTTGCGGCTGTTTGGAGAGGGCTGGTTGTGTAGACAGCACCCGTGCACAGCGGGCCCCGCTCCACCCTGCTCCCTGTCTCCTGCAGGCCGGCGGCTTGGCTGTGATGGCCGTGGGTGTCTGGACCCTGGCCGAAAAGAGCAGCTACCTCGGCTTCCTGGCCTCCAGCACCTTTGCCACCTCAGCCTGCATCGTCATCTCGGCGGGCACGCTTGTCATGGCAACCGGCTTCCTGGGCTGCACTGCCGTCCTCTCGGAGCAGAGGGGCTGCCTCTCCATGGTGAGCGCTGCCTGGGCACTGAGGTTGGGGACAGCCAGGCGGGGAGGCTGCTCGGGCCTGGAACAATCACATGTGTGGTTCCTGGACAGGAGCAGCGCGCAGCCTCAGCCTCCTCTGGAGCCCCTCTTCCCTCCTCTTCTCCCTCCTCTTCCTCCTCTCTCTCTCTCCTGGACTCTCCTTCCTCCTCTTCCTCTTCTTCCTCCTCTTCCTCCCCTCCCTCTCTCCAGCGTCTCTACCACCTGGAGCTCCCCAGGTGCGGCCCACAGCCGGCCTCATCCCACCGGCTCACTCCCAAGCTCTGCCCTGGCCCCTCCCGGGTACCCCGAGGCGCCCTGGACACCATGCCGCCTGCAGATATTCCAGCGCGTCTCTCTTCAGCTTAGGGGTGCTGCTTTAGAAAACATAGTGACATTACTATTACCACACTCTTTCCTGATGTTGCAAAATAACAAGGCAGTTTTGGATTTGCCAACTGATCCAAAACACTGTTCTTTGTTTTCATTTATTTATTTTTACTTTTTTATTTTTTGGTACCAGGGATCAAACTTGGGCCCTTGTGCTTTCGAGGCAGGCAGTGAAACCACTGAGCTCAATCCCTGGCCCTGTTCTTTGTTTTCAAGTTTGAGTCAGAATCTAAATTAGGTCCAGGTATTATAGGGCAGGAGCCTCCTAAGCCTTTCAGTCCCTGCCTCTCTCTCTCTTTCCCCTCTCTGTCTGTCTCCCTGTCTCTCTGTGTCTGTATGTGTGTCTCTCTCTCTTTCTCGCTTTCCCCTCTTCATGCTGGGCAGGTGACGATGGGTACAGAGGACAGGCAGAGGTGAGGTGGTTGGTCCAGAGTGCTCAGCGGGAGGCCAAGGGAGCAGGCTCAGCCGAGCTAAAGGCCTGTGCCAGCCTTGGTAGGCACACATGGAGGTCAGCAGGTCCCAGTCAGGGGAGCTTGCGGCAGGGCCCAGCCTTCGCCCTGGCATTACTGGCCGCGGGGCAGGGCACTCGCTCACACCCTGCCTGTGGGGATGTTGAGGCAACAGGAACACACGAAGTTCTGAAGCTGACAACACACTGCAACAGGGCACATGGTCCAGCTCCTGCGCCCTCCCCGGGCTCCAGCCCACCTCACGCTGCGGAGCACTGAGGGCGGGGCTGGGTTTCACCAGACAGCTGTGTCCCTGGGGAGGCACAGGGGCCTCGTCCTCAGGAGTCAGCATGGGCAGTGGCAGGCAGAGACCAGTCGCATACCAGAGGGGCTCAGAGCAGGGCAGGCGAGCAGGGGCCTAGCAGTGGAGCTGGGCACCCAGGGCAGCTGGGGCTTCATACCCACTCAGTAGCCCACCTGGGCCAGAGTTTTCCGGGTTGGAAGGGAGCTCAAGGCCAGCATTCACCCAGACCATCCAGGCTTCAAGTAGGTGAGACCCGGGGTCCCTCCGGCATTACTGGAGGATGCTGCAAATTAAGGGCCCCTGGGAGAATGAGCTATTCCTCTGGGCGGGCGAAGAGGCCAGAAAGAGCACTGAGGGCTCAGCTCCCTCCTTGCTCTGCACCCAGTGCCACCGTTGTGGCCACGTCCCCTCCTCCCCTCCACGTCCTCGAGTTCAATCTGTGTAGCTGTGAGGCTGACCACGGAGGCCGAGGTCTCCAGCCTCCCCGGACACAAGCTGACCGCCATTTGGGCTGGATTCTGCCGGAGGGCGCCTAGCTCTGGCTGGGGCTGCTCTGAGAGAGGTGGACAGTCAGTGGAATGGCAGACTGGAGCTTCCGAAGGCTTCCGGGCACCTCTCTGCCCACCTTCCAGCTTCCAAGACAGAGAGCTGGGCCATCCCCTGGGGCTGGAGGCAGCCTCAGCACAGAGGCCCTGGGACAGGCTGGCTGGAGATACTTCTGTCTTCTCAGCTCTGCTCAACCCCTCCATAGAGGCTGTACAGGTGCTGGCAATGTCTGGCTCAGCCTCCCTGAACAGTGAGACCAGAAGTGTGCACTTCCACACACATGTGCACACACACACACCCCACACCAGGACCCGAGGTCGGGCGTCTCCAAGGTCGGGCTAACAGCAAACCCCATAGCCTGGGACCTTCTTCTGCCTTCCCTGCCTCCTTGGAAAGAAGCAACAACACAACTGGCCCATGGAGAGACCAGAAAGGGCAGAGGACCCCAGCTCACACCACTCTGGCCCAGCCTCAGAAGCAGGGAGTTCTGTCAGCCCTTCCTGGGGCTCACACAAGCGGCTCTGAGACCCAGGCTTGCGTGTAGAGGCTCGGTGTGCTCCGGGTACCTTAGAAGTGCTCTATGGCTCCTGAACTCTCCTTCCTGGCTCCATTTCCTTTCCCCGCCGCCACATCTAACTTCCTTTCAAAACCTTCAGTCAGCTGAAGGCTGAGGGATGCTCTGTATAAAATGATTCCCAGAGAGAGAAGCTCCCAGGGAAACAGTGCCCTGCCTGGGCCTCCTCCTGGGGCCTCTGGCACCCTTACAGCCACTTTCCCTGAGACACTCACCGGGACAGGAACAGTGCGTCTGAGCAGCTGCCGAGATGACGGGCGGCTTGGCATGGGAGTCTGCAGAGGGGAGGGGAATGGGCTTTAAATTATTCATAGGAGACCTTCTGTTTTTAGCCAAGACTGCACAGCAGAGGCAGATAATTCAGGCCGTCCAAGCCTAAGCCCGATGGCCAGGCCGATGCCACCCACATCAAAAGAGAGGGCTATTTTTAGGGTTTTGAATACGGGCTTCGCAAACTTTTATATCTTCAGCCAAATGAAGATCGTGATGGATGGTTTGGACTAAACTGGGTCTTTGTTGGGAGCTATTTTATTTTTAGAGAGTGGATAAAAAGTAAGAAGTTCTGGAAACCAATTTCTGAAAATGAGGAGACCCAGAATTGCAACGCTTCCATCTGGGTGTCAAGACACGGTTAACTCAGGCAGGAAATAAGGTCTGGAATCTGGGACAGGTCTCTGTCACTTGCGCAAGTTCCGCTTGGTCCTCTACCAAGTCACCCAGGCTCTCTCTGCCATCCCAGTAACCCCATCTTTGTGTGGGATACGGTGTGAGGGTGCTGAGGAAGTATTTTCAGGTCTTAGGGAACGCGTTGCTGCGTTATATAAAGATCATAACAACGTGGCTCTGATGAACATTTACATCGCCATCACCATGACCAAGCTCTTTGAGAAGGGCCCTAAATAAACAGTTGCTCTTAGGGCCGCTGCTCCTAGGGTGCCTGCAGCCTTTTGAGACCACACCACCCAGAGAAGCGAGTGATGGTACAGCGTTCAGAGGGCACCGGCCTGGGAGTCTGGCTCTGTCCTGCCTGTGGCTGTCGCTTTGTCTGGCTCCTCCCTCAGCCTCAGGGTGGCACCACCTCCTCCGCCAGGTGTCACTTTGGTCCTTGAATTGGCTGCCTCTAAGTCCCAAAGGGATCAAGAACCTATAGCCAGACTGTTGGGAGGCTTCAGGTCCTTTCCAACAGAAGGAAACAATCTGACCTCCCCTGTGCTTAGTGCAGTGGAGGCCCGGGAATGGCAGGGTGGCCTCCGCGGAAATGGGGCACAAATATCCCGAGGAGCTGGCTGCATGGAAGACACGCACAGGCAGTCTTCGCTCTGCTCCCCAGGCCTTATTGCCATCATCGGCAAAGGCATGGGCCAGATCAGCTGTGAGCCAGGGCCGCGCTGACTGCCTGTCGCAGTGTGGCCCCTCCCCTCAGCCTTCCTCAATGTGGGGTACAGAAGGCACACAGGAGCTCTGAGTCCCTCGGCCCACGCCCTTCGCCTGGTGAAGCCTGGTAACTACCCCAGCCCTGGCCCAGGGCTTTCTCGCAGGCTGTACCCCGTCTCCTGAGCCTCAACACAGCAAATGGCACGCACCTTCTCACAGCCCGAATCCCTGGTTTCTTTCCAGGTGAAGCCTAACCTGTGAGGAACCCGTTAGGATATATTGGAGGATTACTCATTGTTCTTCCTTCAGCATCCACATCCTGGCAGATGCTCGATCTCACTGCATAACTGGAAAGATGTGGGACAGACCCTGTCCGAGGGCTGGACAGCAAGGCCGGTTACCAAGCCCTGAAGCCAGGGTGCAAGGGAGCCCCAGAAAGATGATAGGAATGCAGAGGGCAGAGAGCAGCACCCCAGGACAGGCGGAGGCGGAGGTTGGCTGCTGCTCCGCGGGTCCCTGGGTGCCACACAGGCCGGCGTGGAGGAGACTGCTGGCTCTCCCTGTGGCAGAGCCGCGTCCTTCCCTTTCCGCGGGAGGCCAAGTGAGCAAGCTTCGGTTGGTCACACAGCATCAGGTCCAGACAAGCTGCCGACTCGAACCTGCCCACATCCACCTTCCCCAGGCTGCAGTGGATGGGCAGGCTGCCTTCCTCCCCTCATCCTCTCCACGGTGCCCGGCAGAGCTGCCTAACCCGTCAGCCTCAGCAGACACTCCCTGCACATTCCCAGCTTTCCCTGCTTGGCTGGATGCAGGAAGGGGAGGGAAACAAGGCTGCCACTCGGTTCTTGTCTTGGAGCCTGGTAAGCAGCAGAGGGTCCTACCCCAAAAGGTAAAGCCCATGCAGGTGGCTCAGACTCCTGCTTGGATTTGCTCAGAAGCTCTTACCACTGAGCCCTGGATATTCCCTACTTCTGGGCCTCCTGTTCCCAGGAGCCCAGAGTCTCCCTCTCTTGTTCCTGGTTGGAATTTCTCCTCCTCAGCCTTTTCCTCAGAAGAGACTTGTGTCCTACTGTTACAGTGGTAGACACCCCATCACCTGTCCCCTCCTGCGGTCCCCACCACTATGCCTTTTCCTGCCCTCACCACCCCCAGGTCCTTTTGGTTCCACCTGAGTGCACAGCTGGCTGCAGGCTGCACCATCCCTCACCAGCCTGCAAGGAAAAGACAGTTGGCAAGTCTAGGGGCTTCCAGGGTGGTAGGAGGCAGCGATGGGTCAGCTGCATACTGGGTCCAAGGGCACCAGCATCCTCCGTGCTCCCAGAGCCCGGCCTTCACCCTGTAGCCAGCTG